ATTTTTTTTTTTTTTGGTACCGGGGATCGAACTCGGGTCCTTGCGCTTGCGGGGGCCGGCAGCAAAACCACTCAGCTAAATCCCTGGCCCTGATTGTATTCTGTTTCTATATATTCAACAGTTTTTGTCTGAACATACAAGTACGATAATGTATTTTTCTTTCAGTATCTGGCTTAATTTCTCTTAGCATAATGCCCTTCAAGTTTATGTATGATGCTGGGAATGACAATATTTGCTTTCTTTTTAGGATGAATAATAGTCCTACTGTGTGTATGCATAAATTATCTTTTCGTCTGTTGTTACATAGGTTGTTCCTATATCTTGATTATTGTGAATAATGCAGGTATTCTTCCTGAGACAATGCAGGTAATCTTCCTGAGACAATGATTGTACTTTTGGTTATACAATTATTAGTGTGATAACTGATCATACCATGTGCTAGCCCAGTTTTTTTCTTTTTTGAAGTACCTCCATGGTATCTTTCACAATGACTGTGTCAGTTTACATTCTAAAGAGTTGTGTGAGTTCTTTATTTTGAGAATTAATCACTTATCATTCATGGTTGACAAATATTCTTTTCCAGTTTCTAGGCGGCCTTTTGATTTTGTTGATTTTTTTTTTTCCTTTACTGTGCAAAGCTTTTTAGTTTTATGTAGCCTCATTTTTATTCTTCACTTTTTATGCTGAGCTTTTGGTGTGAGATCAAAAAACAAAACAACCACACTGCTGAGACCAGTATCGAATAGCCTATCCTCTGTTTTTCTTCCAGGAGTTTTACTGTTTCAAGTCTTTAGGGTTAGAGTTTATTTTTATGTATGGTGTAAAGATAACAATGTAGTTTTATTCTCTTGCATATAGATTTCCAGTTTTTCTGTCCATTCATTGACAAGATTATCACTCCCCCATTATGTCTTCTTGATGGCGAAGAAGACCAAAAATCCAAACGTGCTTGGACTTATTTCTGGGCTGCCTGTTCTGTTCTGTTGGTCTATGTGTCTGCTTTTATGCTACTATTATGTTATTTTGATTATTGTAGTATTATAATAGAATTTGAAATCAAGGAGTATGATTGTTTTTCTTTCTCAAATTGTTTTAGCTATTTGGGGGTCTTTAATGGTTCCATATAAATTTTAAAATATTTTTGCTATTTCTGAAAAGTGACACAGGGACTTTGATAAGGATTGCATTGAATCTGTACATTGCTTTGGGTAGTAGGAATGTTTCAACAAAATTAACTCTTCCAACCTATGAACGTGGGCTTTCTTGCTGTTTCTTTGTGTCATTTTCAATTTCTTTCAGCAATGTTTATAGCTTTCAGTGTATAAATCTTTCAATTTCTTGGCTAAATTTATTCTGACTTTTACTCTTTTTAATGCTATCATAAATTAGCTTTCTGTTTCTTTTTTTCAGATAGACTACCACTAATGTAAAGAAATGCAGCTGATTAAAAAACTGAAAATATTTTTTTTTTGGTACCAGGGATCAAACTCAGGACCTTCGGCTTGTGAGGCAGGGATCGGAACCACTGAGCTAAATCCCCGGCCCAAAAAACTGAAAATCTTAAGTCAGAGACCATACTGTCTTGTTAACAATAATACATAGCCCATAATTAGCAGGCATTTAATAAACTATGGAATAATAAATGTGTAAAATATTGTTAATGTTTTTAAAATAATGTTAACAAAATGAAATTG